TTTTATATATATATATTACTCTTATTGGTGATTCGCTTCTACTGCCCTCTCAAGCGAGGACTTCCAAACATCAGACCAAGACTACAATTATATCCACAGGTGTGGATTGCACAGCTCAGGAGCATACCTTTGGAGCTGATCATAAACTTCAAAAATCTATAAGTGCATTTTATTTATTTACCTCACCGATAACAGTAACATACTAGACTATAATTTGTTTTCTGTCCTCTTATTTTTCATATTTACTCATTCTGATTCAAATTTGAGGACGCCCACAAGGCACTGCTTCCCTTTACCATTTTGTGAAGATGTTAATTGCTATTCAGTTTGAAAAGGTCCATTAGATTGGATTAAAATTGTCCAAAATGTTGAATTTGGGTTTTGGTTGGAGATGTCATTTAGATTGAAGTTTCTACTTAGATATTTCCTTCGGATTGAGTATTACAGTTTTAGAAATGTCAATTGGACTCAAGTTTGGATTTGAAGATGCTCATTGGGTATGGGGGTTTCAGTTTTGGAGATTTCCATTGGATTAAGGGTTTCAGTTTTGGAGATTTCCATTGGATTAAGGGTTTCAGTTTTGGAGATTTTTTGGGATTAGTTTATGATTTGTAGATGTTCGGTAGATATGGGGTTTTCAGTTTGGTGATGCCTACTGGATCAAGGTTCAAGTTTAAAGATACTCATAAGATTTGGAGGTTTCATTTTATAGAAGACATTTTGATTCTGGTTTCAGTTTGAAGATGTCCACTAGATATGTGTTCTGGATTTTCAGATTTATATTGGTTTGGATATGTAACTGGTTTTCGTTTACCTTCCCCCCATGAAAGTCACAGATGAAATGGAAGCCCATCTTGTGTTTGAAATGTTAACGGGTTTGATGTCTGATGGTCTCATTAGGACTGTGAGCCATGAGTTCTCCAGCAGTGAGAAGAACCACTTAAGATTCTTAAATATGCTGAATTGGGGGCGGGGCCTGACCGCTGAGCTGAGCGGATGCAAGATAGAGCTGCTCCTGTTCCTTGAGACCAATTTTACCCAAAAATAGAGGTTCAACACACCCAAGCGACCTGCAGGGGACACCAACAGAGGGGTCACACCAGGAGCCACAAGCAGACACCAAATATGCCACATACCCAGCATAAAAAGCCAGAACACAGCTCGCGGCCTTCAAGCATGGTCGGCATGAGGGAGACGGCCGCTCCCCTGCCGCCATCACTGACAGCAACTTCGAACAAGGGCCCTTGTTCCCCCCCCCTATGGACCGGCGGGGGTCATCCCGGTCCCTGGGGAATCCATGCAGACGCGGTGGCGGATACCTCAGCTTCAGTCTACCAACCCTGAGTTGGCGGAGCCCTTCACTGGACCAAACGCCAACGAACAGGAGCCAAACACCCTGAGGCATTTAGATGCAATATTCGAGGCCTTTTGGAGAAAACTTGAGATGAGACAGGCTGCCACTCGCAACACAATTGCAAACCCACCGCTAGCACTACAGCCCCACACCCGCCTCAGAAACGCTCCTCGCAAAACAACGCGGGTAAGAAAATGGCGTCGCGGCAGTCGCCGCTTCCCGCCGACAAATAAACCAACGCGACCACAACAGGCTGCAACTTCCGGACCACGAAAGTCACAGCCGGCCCAGTCCAATGCATGGATCACTCCAAGATACATGGCGAGCCGGCTGGCCTACTCAAGCGGCACCCGAAGGCTGCGGGCGGGACACCGACAGGATGCAAGGGGAAGGTTCCACCACGACCTCCACTTACATGAGCAGATGAACCTGGCATCAGGGTCCTCGGATTGGGGATATAAGATTGCGGAGTCCCGCGATGGACTACAAATGGAGGCTAGGACACTGGAAGGCATAGGCTGAAAGAAGAAGCTATGCGGGATTCTTTGGGACTTGCCCCCTCCTGAAATTGGGCGCCTGCAGTGGGCAGTATAGAGATATCTCTTACACAAAAGTGATGTTACAGTCTGCATATAATGTTTATCTGTTAATCTTAATGGTTTGAGTTTGCTACTAGTCACTCCAAACATACATTTACTGACACTGGCGCATTTACAAGCAACCCAGTGGCTAATACCAACAAGTAACTTAGGTAGACCCTCTCTTTCTCTGTTGGGAATACCAATGACATCCCCTGCCTATTTGTTAGCCTGCGTTTGATCTTGTTGGCTTGCCGCCTATGATTTCCAAAAGGGCAATACCCCTCTAGTTAAAGCTGCAGGGGCTATTTACGCCTAAAAAGCCCTTAACTAAGCTTTTTTAAAACAATGTCTTACAGTCTCGATAAAATCTAGTTTAGGCCAGGACAGATATCTCCACTGAGGCTTGTAATATTAACGTTGACGCCTTCATTGATAGCCAGTTAGCTAGGTACTTGTATGTTTGCCTAATATAACCGGGACACGTCCCTCTGATCTTACTTAAGAGGCTGACGACACGCCTGTAGTATCCCACCTATAAGTGCCACCGTAGTTTATACGCCTGCTAGTCGTGGGTTAGCTACATAACACATCCAAGCATGTTCACCAATCTGTCTAAATAACTAACTATGAAAACGCTTCACACACACACTATAGACACGTTGGAAAGCCTGAAACTATGTTGTTTACCTTTTTAAAAATGTGTGCAATAACTATCTATGCCATATGTCTGTTTAAACTATGTTATCCACCCTTCTTGTTACTGCTGTTGTGGCATTGCAAGAGCATGTACTCTCTGAAATGCACCACCAAAATAAAGAATTAAAAAAAAAAAAAAAAAAATATGCTGAATTATTGCACTCCTTGCAGACACGTAGGAACATATCTTGGACAGAGCGCTAGAAAAATGCACACTGAGCAGCTCACATCCCTTTCAAAGCTTCTGGTGAGAAAATAAATTCAAAATAAATTGGATATAAGGACTAATTTAAACCTTTCCCCTAACCTGGTCTAAATGAAAGAGAATTCTTTACTGGATTTGTCAGGATGATCACGATAGAGATTGATCCACATACAGGGTCTGACTGGCTAATGCAATAAAAAAACAATAATATATAACTCTAGCACAGCAATGTATATAATCTTAACAGGGACATATTCACCAAACAGACAGATGCTGTGAGATGAAGATGAATGATACATTTAGACCAGAATCAGAAAATAGACTCGGACAATATTGATATGTCTTCCAAACTGGCTATTTCCAAAGACGGAGTCAACTAGATTACTAGTAAATGAGCTGGGATGGTTCTTGACTGCAGACCATGGATTAGGAAAATTCCAATCCCTGCCCCTCACGCCCTGGTTCTCACCCTACAACAGGTTCATACTAAATAAGATATATATATAAATATAAACCCCCTGGCTAAAAATAAGCTTTATCTCGTGGATTTTCCTGGAGAATACTAGATCTGAGGGTTGGACTGTATTTATTGTCCCATTAAAAATATAAATAATAAGAAAATTACTAAGTGTGCGAGCCGTGATCCTGAGAACACTGCACCATTTCAATCCCTGGAGCCCAGTACTAAGCTATCACTATAACAATCTACAGGACTTTATACTCACCAAAGTGTCCTCTTTGTCCATTTGAAAT